TTCTAAAGAAACGTGAAACTAACCATTCTTTTCTTCTTCTATTGAGAGAAGAAAAAAAAAAAACATTATAAATGACGAGTTTTTTTAGAGTCAGATGTGTATATGAGTCGTCTCATATATGCATATAAATCGAATGCAAACTTTATGATTATTCTCTAGCTTTTCTTTTTTCTTTTTTTTTTTTGTCAATACTATAATACATTAATGATATAAACACACTCACACATATTCATTCTATTTTAGCAACTTGATCGAATTATTAAAGCATTAGATCCTAAAAATACGGGTTTAATTAATTTTCAACAATTTTGTCATGGTATTGCTCAAATAAGTTCATTACAAGGTGTTTCATTAAAAGATGTTGCATCAGATTTAACACGTCTTAGTCGTGAAAATTCATTATTAGAAGATTCTGATCAACGTAGTTTGGTAAGATTAAATGAATTATTTTATATTAAATTAATTTTTATAGATGAAAACAAAAATAAAAAAATAAAAACCAATTTATTTTTCCCTAGAAAACAAATAATGGTTTTGATTTTTCTTCATTAACTTATTTATCAAATCTTCAAATTGAAGAGGTTATATACTATTATTTGTTAATTTATTCTGTGTCAATATTTTTTTTTTTTAGTTTTATTCTTTCTTCATACAGATCTCAAAATTTTATTTTGTTTTTCTTTTGTAGAATCAAGAAGGTAGTACAACAACCTTTAACGAGTACGACGTTGACGGTGAAGAAACCTCTCCTCATACCAAAATACAATCAACAAATAATAAAATCAATAATAAAACCAAACATACTAATCATAATCGATCGATTTCATCAACATTGGATTCATCTGTGTAAGTTAATCTAAAGACTGAAGTTTGAGCAAGTGAAATATCGGCTTCAGAAGCTCATCAACACGAACTTTTTCTAGTCTTACCGAGTTCTTCTTCCAGGTCCAATATGAGTTCAAACGAGGAATAATTCCTACATATAAAAAAAGCTACCGAGATCAGTACCAAAAACAAAAACATTTACTCCTGCACATCTCTATTCACATCTTTTTTTCTTCTAGTTTCGGTGACGAAGAAGAATTTACTGGTATAGCTGAACCGGATTCAAATAATCCTTCATCTGATTCAATAAAACATCCACGTACCGGTACATCTCAACGTATATCGTATGTTTGATTATTATTTTTTTGGTTTTTAATATTTGTTGTTATTTTGATATTTTTAGGGAAGTATCAAAACGAAATAATCCTTTAAAATTAACTATTCCATCGGAAGAAATTGATCAACAATTACAAGAAAGTGTTCGTAGAAATTTTTTTTTTGTTGTTTTTGAAGAAAAATAAATTGATCTTATTTTCTTTTCTTTTAATAGGTTGATGAATTACACAAAACTGTTGACGATTTAACGAAACAAAAACAGACAACAACTGATCGTTTAGCTAAAATTCAAAATGAAAATACAGATTTAAAAAACCGGTAAAATCAATATTAAAGTTTATATCAATGTTTTTTTTTTGTTTTAATAGACTTTTAGCACTTGAAGATCGTTTTCACGATCTTGAAGGACAACAATCACGTACAACACAAAGTGAACAACAAAAATACGTTGAATATATTGTAAGTTAAAAAATGATTTTAATAAAATGTAATAATAATATTTATATAAATTTATTCAGAATCAAAAAGATCGAAATTTTGTACAAGAGAAAGAAATTCTACAGACAAGGTAAATAATCTCAAAATTCTTGTTATTTTAAAAAACTCGTTTAATTGAATCTTCTAGTGTCATGAGGTCTGTTTGTGTTTTGTTTTTTTTAGTAATTACTTTAACTGTTTTCTCTTCTTCTTGCATGCATTGTTTGAATATATCCTTTATTGTCTTACTTATATTCTTTTTCTCATATATATATATATGTTAGAGATAGAAATAAATATAAAATATTTTTATTTAGAATTAATGCAATTGAAACTGAACTTAAACAAACACAAACAACAAATGGACTAATGAAAAAAGATGTTAAACTATTAAAAGAGGTAATTAATGATTATTATTATTTTATTGCAAATCATAATTTAATGAAAACAGTCAAATTACTTCGATTGATTAATATTCTTTGTCTTAAGGCTAGAATAGTTTTGATAACTAACTAAAGACTTTATCCAGGAAAGTTAAATCAAATCTTCAAAACTAAAGATATTATGAATTTCATAAGTTGCAGTATCAAGCAGTAATAAAATTGGTCTAACTTTTCTGCTTTTATTTGGTTAATTTATATAATGAATTTTATCGGATGTTAATAATATCAAATGAGACTACCTAGAGATGAACATGGTATGAATTTTAGATTGATCTGTCTGATCTATTCACACCGGTATCGATGCCGGTCGTAAAAAATTCTAGACGGATTCTCTTATCATGTGCAAAGCAGGAAGTGTTCTTTAGAGGTATAAGCCAATCGGCTGAGCCATCAACGCTCCAGCCCCGCCGCCGCTACCTGTGACCTAGTCGCACCGCTGCTGCCAACGCTCTAGTCGTGCCGCAGCTGCTAGCGGTCTAGCCGCACCGCCGTCGCCAACGCTTTAGCTGTGCCGCGGCTGCATGAGATCTAGCCGCGCCGCCACTGCTGGACATAAAAATGGACACTGGATTTTCGATATCTAGTATCTGTTTTCAGGAACGGTCTCTATCATTATTTTCTCCTTTTTTTCATTTTAAAATTTCAGTTGTATATCGGCTCATATCTCTAGTCATCTTGATACAGGATTACTTGAATTTACCTAGTTTCCAGTGTTTTATCCAGGATTTTTTGGTATGTTAAATCTCAGCTTCAGAGCATGGGATCCAGATGAGACTTATGAAGGATGATACTGGAGCTAAATGATGAGGTTTTATGAAAAAAATTTTGTGATTGGAGTTTGCGAAAAGAAAATAATTTTTTTGCTTGCCCCCCCCCCCCCCCCGGGAAATTTGTTTTGCTGTTTGTCGTATTTCATTTTTTAGAATGCCATAGTCAGCTACATGAAATTTCACCGACAGATTTCAAATTT